AAATCCGACTTGGTCAGGGTATATGATCTTCTTGATGACCCTCTGTATCCTGTTTGCCAGTATCTTGTTGAGGATTTTTGCATCTATGTTCATTAGGGAGATTGGCCTGTAGTTCTCTTTTTCAGTTGGGACTTTCCCTGATTTTGGAATCAAAGTAATGCTTGGTTCCAGGAATGAATTTAGAAGTATTGCTTCCCTTTCAATTTCACTGAAAAGTTTAAAGAATAGCAGCAATAGTTCTTCTCTATATGTTTTGTAGAATTCAGCAGTGAAGCCATCAGGACCTGGGCTTTTCTTTGTTGGTAAATTTTTAATTACATTTTCAATTTCACTGATTGTAATTGGGGTGTTTAGAATTGTTTTATCTTCTTCGTTCAACTTTGGTAATTCATATGTATCTAGAAATCTGTCTATTTCTTCTGTGTTTTCCATTTTATTAGAGTACAGGTTCTCAAAGTAGGTATTGATGATCCTCTGGATTTCTGCTGGATCTGTTGTGACTTCACCTTTTTCGTTCCAAATTGCATGTATTTGAGCTTTTTCTTTCCTTTGTTTGATAAGATTGGCTAAGGGTTTATTGATTTTATTCTTTCGAAAAACCAACTCTTCGATATGTTGATTTTTTGCATCATTCTCTCACTCTCCATTGCATTGATTTCTGCTGTGATCTTTATAATTTCCTCCCTTTTATGAGCTTTGGGTTTGTCTTGCTCTTTTTCTAAGAGCTTAAGATTTGGCATTAGTTGTTTATTTGCGCTCGTTCTGTTTTCCTAGTGTGGGCATTCACTGCTATGAATTTCCCTCATAGAACTGCTTTCATTGTGTCCCATAGATTCCTATATGTTTTACTGGCATTATCATTTATTTGTAAAAACTGTCTAATTTGTTCTTTAACTTTCTCTGTGACCCACTGGTTGTTCAGGAGAGTGATATTCAATTTCCATGTGTTTGTGAAGTTCTCGCAGTTTCTTATGGTGTTGATCTCCAGTTTAATTCCACTTTGGTCTGGTAATATACATGGGATAACTTCAATTCCTTTGCATTTACTTAAACACGTTCTATGAGCTAGTATGTGGTCTATTTTGGAGAATGACCCCATGTGCCTTTGTGGGGTGGAACACTCTGCAGACATCTATTAAGTCCATTTGTTCAAAAACTTGGTTCAGTTCAGGTATTTTGTTGTTGACTTTTGGTTTAGATGATCTGTCTATTTGTGACAGTGTGGTATTGAGGTCCCCCACTACAACTGTATTAGTGCTTATTTGGTTTTTCATGTCCCCTAATATTTGTTTTGTATAGTTGGGGGCATTAGTGTTTGATGCATATATATTTATGATTGTCATCTCTTCTTCTTGGATTGTTCCCATTACAAGTAGCGACCTTCTTTGTCTCTCTTAATTAGTTTTGGTTTGAAATTTACTTTGTCTGCAAACAAGATAGCTACTCCTGTTTTTTTCCGGGTTCCTGTCACATGGAGAACTGTTTTCCATCCTTTTACTTTCAGTTTATGATTTTCTTTTTGAACTAGGTGTGTTTCTTGTATACAGCATATTGTTGGATTTTGCTTCTTAATCCATTCTGCCAGTCTACTTCTTTTGGTGAATTGAGGCCATTAACATTGATGGTTATAACTGATATGTATTAATTTATCATTGTCATGTTGTTGGTTCTTTTTTTTCCTCCCTCTCCCTTTAATTTCTTGCCTTGCCTGATGAATTTGCTCTGTTGGACCTCATGGAGTTGTGACCTTCATTGACTTTTTCTAGGATACTGTTTAGAATTGTTTGGAGTGCTGGTTTGGTACTCTTGAAGCTTTTCAGGTGTTTTTTGTCATGGAAATATCTTATTTTCCCATCAATTCTGAAAGACAGTTTTGCAGGATACATCAGTGTAGGTTGGAGGCTGTTTTAGGGCTTGAAATACCTCACTCCAGGCTCTCCTTGACTTGAGGGTTTGTGTTGAAAAGTCTGCTGATTCTGATGGGCTTTCCTTTGTAGGTGATTTGTTTCTTTTCTCTAACTGCTTGTAGTATTTTGTTCTTTGGTTGGATTTCTGGGATCTTGATTATTATATGTCTAGGTACAGATTTTTTTTGATCATGGCTAGTTGGAGTCCTATATGCCTCACTTACGTGTATGTCAAATTCTTTTGCTCTGTTTGGGACGTTTTCTGTCATTAATTCTATGAACAGTTTTTTTTAATGTCATTTGTACTTTCTCCTGGTTTTTCATGGACTCCTATCAATCTTATATTATTCTTCTTTGCATCACTAGGAGCTGTTGGATTGATTTCTCATGGTTCCTTACTATTTTTAAGAGATCTCTCTTTTTATGGTCACTGACTGCCATCCTATCTTCTATATCTGATATTCTGTCTTTAGATTGGCTCAGTCTGCCATGTATGCGTTCAACAAGTTTTTAATCTGTATATCCGTCTGAATCTGTTTAATGGATTCGATTTATTTCCTATGTTGGCCATTCATGGTTTCCATTTCTTTTCTATGTTGGGCATTCATGGTTTCCATCATGGTCCTGAACTCATCTATTTTTTTTTTAATCTGTTTCTGTTCTCTAGAGTCTCTAATCATGTCTTTCATTCTGCTCATCATTTCTGTAGTTATCTGAGAAATTATTTCTGTTTTGAATTTTTCTAGAGCCTCATTCATCTGTTTTGTTACTTCCTGTGCTATCAGTTCAGGGTGTCCAGGTGGTTGATTATCAGACTTTTCCACTTCATTTCCCACAGAATTTGCCTTTGGTGGGCTGGAAGTCTGAGTTTGTGCCTTGCTTAAACGTCTTCTCCTTTCTATTTTTGTTGTTGGTATTGTCCTTGGTTTAATTCCTGGGTTGATATTTTGATATTGGTTATTGTAAGTATCTTTGTTGCTTGTATTTAGAATCCTTATGGAATGATTGCTTCTCAGAGGTGTCTTCCAGATACAGCTGGTCTTTGGGTTTTTAGTCTCTAATGACTCTGAAGGTATCTCATTTTTATTATACCAGGAAGGACAACTGATTAGATCAATCACAACACCTTAGCCCAAGTAATAAAATCAGTAACACAACAGCATCAAGCACAGCTTAGAAAATAAAAATTTGTGGTAGTTACTAATCTATCACCTTTAACTGTGTGCATTAAATCAAAATCGAGGACCAGCCCAAAATATGTTTATAGTGAATAAACTCTTCAATATAGCAACTTTACCCTTCAAGATGGGGGCCTAGAAGGAGTTTGGGAAGGAAGGATAGTTAGGTAGGATAGGGAAAGGTTAGCAGTGAGGCCAGACAGAGGAAGATCATGCAAACTCTAGGAAACTGTTGAAGGCAAGAGGAAAATATAGAATGAAAGAACAAAGATGAGAACAGAACAACCTAACAGGTGTAGGGAGGCTAGAAACTGTATTTACTTTCCTTTGAAACTAATGACAATCAAGAGAAGGAAAAAGAGAAAAGAAAAAGAAAGAAATCCAAATTAGGGCCAGAACAGGAACAAAAAGGGAGATGAAGAACAATGTGGGAGAGTGAGAGAGTGACAGAGCAAGAGAGCAAGACAGTGAGAGAGAAAGAAAAGAAAAAAAAGAAAAATTTGAAGAGTAGAAAAAAATTAAAAATAATAATTTTGAGACTAACAAATAAAAACTAAAAATGAAGGGCCTCCTTCAGGGTATGTCTCTGCTGTCACAACAGACAATGTGGATAGCAGTGTGCAGATATAAGTCCATTAGTCTCAGCAAACCAGTAGCAGACCTGAGAGATTCAGGCTGATTTCTGGGTGCAAATCCCAGGCTGAGCTCTCTGCCCTCCTGCAGGGTTGAACTTTGCAAGGTTCTACTGCAGGTTCCAGCTGCCCTTCCCCTTAAGATAGTCCAGGTTCTGATGGGAGGTGATGATCCCAACAAGTTACCAACTATAGTGGTCTGGTGTGCCTTTATTGCAGAGATTCTCTTTACTTTTCCAGTGGGCTTCAATTTTCATGAAGGAGCCTGAGAGAGGTCCTCTTTCTGTTGTTCACTTCTGCTCTATCTTCTGGAGCTCAGGACAATGGCCTTTATGACCCGCTGTGCCTCTGCGGTGTGGAACCAGGTACTGACGCAGCTAGGAGGCCAGAGGCAGGGAGGGAGGGGGGTGGTGGTGCTGCAAGCACCTGCTCGGCTCAGCTAGTTGTTCAAAGGCAAGGTGGGGGCAGGGAGGCAGCCTCAGCTCCACCTGGCTGAGGTCCTCACCCATCCGCTGGTTATGTTTTACGTTCTTATCACCTCCCAGCTTCCCCTGTGGTTCCTCTGAATGCGTGTGTACTCAATATTTACATTTTTAAAAGACCACTTTTTAAAAGTATACCGCAGTCCCTATGAGAGATGATGTGGGCTGCATCAGGGCGACAGCCACAGAAACCGGAGACCTCTTAACTGATGTGCACAGATCTAGCCATCCGCTCTGCCAACTGCACGTTCAGATCACTGGAGAAATCTGAACAGCAAGACAGTCTCTGAAAATACTCTGGGAGCCCTGTGCTCTATTCATATGGAAGGCAGGAGAGCAAAGAGGAAAGTTGTCTTTGAGCTGAAATCCTGTCTTATTTTCTAGCTCTGTGTCCTGGGGCAAGTTACTTAACTGTTCCTGTTTTCCCATATACAAAGTAGAGATGATACATCTCCATTTTCAGAGTTATGATGATTGTGCCATACACAGCATGCAAACTTCCAGGTACACTGCCAGACACATAAAAATTAAAATAAAACCCCTAACGCCACCTCAGTGTGACAGTGTTATCAAACTTCCTCGTATGTAGTCATATGTTTTTGGAAACAAAGTAATATAGGCTATATTTATAACAGTGTTGTAATGGGGCCTAAGATACCACCTGAGTTCTGAGGTACAGTGTACACTTAGCTCACAATGAGAGTATACAGCTTAGACTTTTAAAAAAATCAGTTAAAAAACTGGTGTTAGAAACATTACAAAATAATTCCTAAATTTTTAGTTAAAATAAGACTTTCTTACCTCTTCAAGGGAAGATTCCAAATTCATGCCAAAAGCAACTCCCATTAGTCCAAAGAGTGAAAGAGAGAAGGTTCCCATGGTCAACTGTAGATTCAACCTCATCATCACATTCCGGTGGCTGGAGGGGAGAAGAACTCAGATTAGAAGGCTCACTAGTCACACAAAGCAAATTGGTAAATACTCTAATCAAGACCACATGGATTAAATCTACAAGCAGCAAACCAAACACCGTTTCTGTGTAGTGGTCACAGATTATGATGGTGTAATTCCTTTCAAAATGACATTTCCTTAAAGACTTTATTATCTTCCAATAATTATTTTATAAAGGAGATCCTTACTGTTTTATGAGAGGTATTCTTACCTGTCCAGATTGATAAAAATAACACTCTGTGAGTCGTCAATCAGCACCCTGAGCTCCCGGGCTGCGTTGGAAAGGTCTTCAGCTAAGCGGTAGTAGTTTTCCAGCAGCAGCTCCATCTCCTCTGCGTGGTCAATGCCAGTACTGCTCTTTTCACTACAATTCCGAGTTAACAGAGTCAGCCTCCCCTCGCCAAACACAACAGGTATTTACTACCAAAGCTTCCTGAATTAGTATAGAACATTCAGCTATCAGTGAAAAACAGGTCGTTGTCTTTTCTACTGCTGTGACTGAGGTCAATCTGTGACAGGCTGTGTGAGCTGATCCTAACCACTACACAGATAATGAGACAACAAAGATTCCAGCCTTACAAAGACTAGTTAGCTTCACTGTATTCCATAGTCCAATCTAGAGATTCATGTAAATGGATGCCAAAATTCAAAACCATTACCAGGTAAAGAAAAACCAAAACTAATAATTGAGCACAAAGAGCATTTCCATTTCAAGGTGAATATATGATGTTAGATTTTGAATGAAATTAACATATATTTTGGTCTCCTTTCTATTTTTTTTCCCCCATTAACTTTACTGGTACATTTTAGGTATACAATACAGTTACATTCATCATTGGGATCTTGCACCATTACATGAGTCTCTCGGTTCTTATTTTTTTTCCCCTTCCCTTGCCCTCCCTTCACCCTCTCCACCCTTCCCTATTTGCAAAGACCTTGTTTCCATTTTTTTCCTCTTCTCATATTTTTTCCTTTCCCTTTTTTCCCTTCCCCTACCCCTCCCAATTCCCCTGCTCTTTTAGACCTTTTCTTCCTGTTACACAATATCAGTTATACATTTTTTAAATTACAATATTAAGATCTAGGCAGTCTCCTTTCTATTGACAGGACTAATGAGGATGATGAGGGAGGATTAAGTACTATGTGACTTGTATCATAAAGCCTATTAGAGCTATGTCAGCCTAAGCAAAGCAAGTAAGAGTGTGTTCAAGTTTCTGCTGCTGTACCCAAATGCTACAGAGCAAACATCACACAGCTTTTTTTTTGTCTTCTGTTGTTTCTGTAGCAAGAACGCAGGGCTTCCTGCATGCTAGGTGAGTGCTCTGCCTCTGAGCTACATTCCTAGTCCTACTGGTTATCTTAGTATTTCCTTATTAGACTATAAATAACCAACTTCCCAGATTGCTTATCTGTACAGACCATTGAAACACACATTACAAAGATGTCTGTATTATGAATTTGTGATAGCACTCCACAAAAAACAAAACCAAACTATTATAATTAAATGTAAACATTTAACTTGAGTATGCACCAGAATAATAGAGAATTTCTAAATTTCCAAGAGACAAAAAGTTGACAACATGAATATTTTTATATTAGACCAAACCTACAGAACTTATGCCAGGTGTTACTCCTTTCCCTTTATCCTCTTTTCCTTCCTTGATGCGAATCTCTCCCCCTCTTCCACTCTACTAGCTAGGCAAGTTACTTCAGCAGGGGTGTGTGTCAATGTGATGGTCAGTCCCCTGAAGGGAAGGTCGTTGTGTACTCAGTACATCATCATTAAACTTAGCCAAGTGCAACACCGCACAGGGGAAATGTGAAACAGCTGAGGAAGAAAAATGCCCATGTTCTCTGCTCCCCAACATACTATGTTCTGTTAAAAAAAAAAATCTTGAGGAAGAAAAGATAGAAGATCCAGCCTGAGGGAATAAATAACAAAACAGCATTATACTTACAAAATGTGGGGGTCAGTCCACTTTGTCAGACAGAGGTCTTCTATCAACTCCTCTTCATCCAAGATCTCCAAAATTGACTCTTTAAAAATTTTAATATCTGTTTCTAACTCTGACAGACTGTAAAAACAGTTACACCAAAATGATCAACAGCATAACCCTTTAATACATTTTGCTTTAAGAACAGTGCCTTTTAAGGGTATCTTCTCAAGTAGGTCTACTTCTCACTCATGGTAAATGGTGAGTTGTAAAACACTTTAATTGTCATTATGGAACTTAAGACTCAATCCCTGCCGGGTGTGGTGGCACATGCCTGCAATCCCAGTATTTGGGAAGGTGAGGCAGGAGGATTTCCATGAGTTCAAGAGCAGCCTGGGCTACATAGTGAGTTCAAGGGCAGTCTGAACCATATAATATATCTCAAAAAACAAAACAAAACAAACCCCCAAACTAACCTCAATCCCCCAGTCAAAATTAAACTGGTCAATCAGTTATAGAAATATAAATTTAGTATCTCAGAAGTATATAAACACTGTGAATTTAAGATTTTTTTTTTTGCTTTGGAAGTTTAAAAGGACAGAATGTTCTTGGGTTAGGACACAGGGCCCTGGGCATGAGAGGCAAGCACTGTACTGCTAAGCTATACTACCACCCAAGATAATTTAATTGTAACTGATAAAACACCTCAATATTTTTGGACCAAACAAACCTACTGATTCAGAAATTTTAATTGTTAATTCTTTGTGGTGCTAGAGATTGAACCAGGTCCTCATACATGCTATACAAGTGCTCTTCCTATCTATATTACCTTCTTTTAAAAAGTTGTGGAACATAATTTTCATGATAATTAAAACCATATATGGCAATGAAGACATGAAGAGTAAATCATAAAGTAAAAAAAACTCACTACTAAGAGTAGATGGGGTTTTTTTACAGCAAATAGGAATCACACTAATTTTATTTGGAATTGATGCTAAACATTTCACTGTTAAGATTACTGCAAGAAGTTTAAGATAGCTGTCTCTAACTCCCAACTTGGTCAACCACCCATATTTACCTTTTGCCATTTTGTAGTAAGATGTGCAGTTTACTTCTGTCTATAGAAGAATGTCTGGGATCCACTAAAGCTTCCAATGTCTCAAGGATCAGTGGCTGCAAAACGCTAAGTTTCCCTTGAAGGGTGTTGATCTAGATAACAACATGACCTTTCATAAGAATTAAAACAACCTTTTTAGAATACTTAGGGTCAGTGAATCCTCTGATTAAATACAGAAATTTCTAATAGTTAGAAATGTTGTTAACACGTGAAATCACAGTCAAGTGTGGGAATGGCTTTTACAGATGACTCAAAACTATATTTCCTGGGTTAAAAGAACTATGTAAGGTCATCATTATGTTCAAATTTGGTTGAGGGGAATTAGCTATCAAAGTCTTTCCTTCTCAGACAATTATTATGAAAGGAATGGGGGAGTAATTAAGATAAATCACTCCCCCCTTCAATGGTTAAAACACAACTTTATACCTGTTTACATGTACTTTGTAAACAAAATACAACTTAAAATTCTTATTAAACACTTTTTTTGAAAAACAAAATTTAATTGGGGCTAAAAACCAAGAAAATAAATCAGTCTAAAGCAAAAGTATACTTTTTGGCTGATAATCTGCAGGAATGCACTGATACAGCTATACTAGTTGTTAAAAGACTGAAATATTTCTAAACCGTCTGGTAAACAGCATACCACTGAATTAAGCAGTAAAATTAATTATAAAGTGGTACCTCAAAAAAAAAAAAAGTGGTACTGCAGTTCACAAACTCAATCCTTTCCAAGTTTCTGGTTACAAAATGAACTGGATGAGAACAGAATCAAATTTCCCTGCGAGGTCAAGATTGAATGACTGAATTTGATTCGGTTCTCGTCCAACTCAGTTTGTGACCAGAATTGTAGAAAGAATCGAGTTCGTGAACTGAGGTACCACCATATACATTCTAGAATAGACTGTATCTCAGAAGCATAATTACCATTGAAGCTAAGATTGTCTGATTTGGGAACTGGATTGCAGACATCTTGTTTATTTCTACACTGAGGAGCTGCTTCTAGGTTCAGGAGACCTTGGGTGGAAGGAGGGCTGGACAAACTGAGGCAATTCTAATGTTTTAGTATTCAAAGGAGATACATCCTCTGCCCAGCAAGTCTGACTCTGGCAGTAGGTGGTAGGCTGCCCAGGGTCACAGTCCAGATGTTTGTGAGGCACACCTGCTCCTGGTAGCTCTCAGTTCTCAGGTGGGCCTGGTTTATTTGAAGATTTACTCCTTGAGCGGGTGTATGTGTGTGTGTGTGTGTGTGTGTGTGTGTGCGCGCGCGCACACACACGCACGCATGGCTGGCCTTGTTCATTGTGTAGTGTTCTTTCTGAAGAAATCTTCTAGGACCTCATTTAATGGCAAGAAGAATGTATATCCCAGCAGACAACTCGAGCTCCCTCTAGTCTCCCCTTGGCTGATCTCTAGAAGATGAGGTACTCTGTTTGTCCAGAGAGCCACCTATCCTGGGCAGCATGTCACAGACCACTGTTTCCACCTGTTGTTACCTTTTTAACATAGTCAAGACAGGCTTGTAATTTGTATGTCTTGCTGCTAGGCAGCTTGAACCACCAGTGGTACATGTGACTGTCCCATTGGGTGACTTTTTATTAATTTTATTAGTAAAAAGACCAAGAAAGTGACTAGATGCATTTGTACCAGCAGTGGTACAAGCTGCCCGATGGGAGAGTCATGCATCCACCACCAGTGGTTCAAGGTGGGGGGCAAGTGTTAACCCCAGCAAGGAGTGTGGCCATGTCTTCTCTCAGTAAAGCAAAAGCAGGCAAAAGAGAAGGACACCAAGTCACCCCACCCCACTTGCATCATGTCCTTTCCACCCTCCTCTCCTCCTCTCACTCTGGTTAGTGGTCTTTGTACCAACTCTTGCATGCACCACCATCCTAACAGGGGGCAGATGTGATAATGAGACTGGCAGGGGCCAGGAAAGCAGCAAACTACTTGTGTTCAGGGCGTAACAGGGCCCCACACATCCAGTGACTATCAGTTTAACAATGGGTGCTTACAGCTATGTGTGTAGTTCTGATGTCAGTTTAGGTCTCAGAGACATCACTTAGCTGATTCAAAGGATTATAGGAGTAAGTCAAAGGATGGTTGGACGAATGATATAATAGTTATCAAATGTAAGCACTTTCATGATGTACAGTTTAGAGAATAAAACGGAATGCATTTAAAATTTGATGAATATCTTTTTTCGTTACCATTCCACAATATGGTTATATTGGTTTTTTTTTTTTTTTTTTGGTATTGGGAATTGAACTCAGGACCTCATGCTTGCCAGGCAGGTGCTATGCCGCTGAGCTAAATCCCTGGCCCAGGATTTGTTTGATTTTTTTTTTTTTAACCACAATATGTTTATTAATCTTGAAATGGGCTTCAATAAATGCTATATTCTATAGACTCTAGAATCTTTAGGCTATTTTATTGAGTAGTAAACCTTAAGAATTACGTACTTTTTCCATTTAGGATCTGTAGAAATGATTCTGTCTAGGAGGACGCCTTCAGGGAAAGTACCACTGAAACAATCCCAACTTATCCTCCCTCTCAATACCATTTGAAACCCAAACAAACTTAAGAAACTAAATAAAAACAAGCTTACCCAATACTGTAGGAGTGCTTCTATAGCTCTGAACTCAAAAGGTAAAGGGTATGTGACAAGTTGACCACCTCCAGCCAACTGTGATGGAAGTTCCCGGAAGAGCCATTGCTCTAAGTTTAAATTACGATAATCTAGTATCAATAGACACTCTGGAGTTATCACAGCTTTCAAATACTGTAAAAGAAAAGTATATACGTACACATACACACACATACACATGTATATGTAAAGATTACAGAGCTATAAGAAAAATGACATCTATAAAACTGGCTTAACATTTTACTAATTTTGGATTAAAACTAAACCAGTCAATGTTCATTTGGTTTTCACACACACAAGAAAGACATTTTTTAAAGAAGAAAACCTAAAAACATAAGTAAGTCTTGATATCTCTCATTCTCAATATAAGTGGAATTGTGCAAATTACATGTTTATTAAGACTTCCAGGGTAATTATGAGAAAAATTGGCAATAAAGGGAAAGATAAAGTTTTTTTTTTGGTACCAGGGATCGAACTCGGGACCTTGTGCTTGGGAGGCAGGCGCCGGACCCACTGAGCTAAATCCCCGGCCCTGCAAGATAAAGTTTTATTAAAAGTCAGGTATTAAGTAGCCTTTTAGAAAACATTTACTTAATCATGGCTGGGGATTTAGCTCAGTGGTTTTGCTGCCTGCTGTGCAGGCACAAGGACCCGAGTTCCATCCCCGGTACCAAAAAAAAAAAAAAGAAAACACTTAGTTAATAATAAGTAGTTCGGTTTAAATAGAAGTTTCCTTTTAAAAACACACCAAAACACATTAAGCTAATTTGACATTATAAAGATAAAACACCACCCCAGTGGTCCAATATAAAACAGTATGAAATGAGAAATTTTTCTGGATACTGGCATCTTTTCACGCTAAAAGAATAGAGGTAGCCTGCGACTACCCTATTAGTAACATAGAGATCAGGAATATTTTCTATTTTACATTTTTATCAATATTTTATTACAAAAATCTTTATATAAAAATGTTGAAAAAATGCACTGTGGACATCATATAGTCACCATTTAGATTATAACGTTAACACTGCTAAATTTGCTTGACCACACACCTATCTCTTTATCAAAGAGATTCTGTTTTGAAGGGTACTAGATACTGACAGCAGGAGCGAAAAACATTTTCTGGAAAAAAAAACACTGGGGAGAAGATGGCTTCCAACATAATTATGTTTTATCAATTCCAGAAAAATGGACACAAATCTACCATCAAAGTTGTATTGAAAAAAGCAAATTGTTGCTGGGCCAATACTGCTGAGCTTTTTTTTTTTTTCTTTTTGGTACCGGGAATCAAACTGGGGTCCTTGCGCTTGCAGGGCAGGCGGTGGAACCACTGAGCTAAATCCCCAGGCCCTCTGTGGCCCTTTATCTTCAGCAGAACTCTAAACTTCCACTCAGCACAATAACAATCTCCCTATTAACTCTGAATTGCTCAGGAAAAGTCAATGTATGTGGGGTTCTCTGAGTACACAGGGGAAGATCCAACATACTTTAGAAAGGTTTCAATAAAAATTTAAGTAGAGGTTTCAAAATTTAATTCTAGATATAGGAAAACAGAATATGTTCTCGGTAACTAAGGTTATACAATAATTACGCATAATAATATAAGTGAAAATATCTATTACAAATATTTTTATAATTTCAGAAACTAGTGACTAAATCCAAACAATGAGAACATAGTTATTCCAACATAAAACAGTGTTATGCTTGCTGAGCATATGAATATAATCCATGTAAAATCAGTTCTTCTTAAAATGTATTATGTGTTCCATACAAGGATTTTTATTCTAAAATTACTTTTAACCTATATATTTGCCAAAGAGTCTACAGGTACCTTTGATCAAACTGCAGTGGAGAACTGTAGATGAAAATAAAACCCTTTACCTCCATCCTCATGATAATCCTGTTGTTTCTGGTTGTGATGCTCATCACATGCTGAAATCTCAAATCTCTGGCTTGGAGACCTAATTCTTGGTATAATTCAGTTTTTTTCCTTTCTATAAAAGAAATAAGAATGAGCTAAACTAATAAATCAAGAGTTTATTTAGATTTTCTGTCAAAGTTCCTTTCCCAGCACCATCGGACAATTTTCTACTACTATAAAAAAAAGATAAAGTGAGTCTTTTAATACCCATCGTTACCTCAAAAACATAGCCAGCTAACTCTAATTATTCCCTTCTCTTTTCTATTCCTTTCCCTTGGTAAAACTTCTCTGCCCTTAGAAGCCCTGGGAACCCATAAGAGACAAGCCACAGCCATGCATCACAATCCCAAAGCAGCAACTTCTTGCATTGGGGACAGGTCATCTTTCTTGATCACGAGTTTACACAACTGCAATTTTTATTTTTTCTCACTACATCATCTTCAGTATTGTAAATGTGTGAACAGATAAGTCTGATTTTCTTTGTTCATTGAGAAATACAGAATGAGAAAATTAGGTCAGTTTTCATACCAGATTTTCCTACCTGAAAACTAAACTTATTACCTAAGAGAATGCATAGAAGATGACAGGAACTCAAGACATTACACTGACAACAGCAGTGTCTGTTCCTGTAGTGTCCAATCACACCTGTGACAGGGCTATAAGCAGAACAATGTTTTGAAGGAGACACTGAGCAAAACACACTCAGATTTCAGCAATGGCTGGAACAGGATCACGTGTCTGCAAACACAGGGGGATCAGAAACCGGAGTCTCAAGCCATACAGTACACCAATACCTGGTTTCATCTTAAAAAGTAGCTGTCCACAGATATCAATTGCAGCAGACTTTCATGCAACTGCCACCCAGTCTTTTGTCACCCACTGCAATACCAGTGGCATTACGTGACTCTACCTTAAACACACTTCAGAACAAACATGTGGAGGGCAGTGTAAGAAAAGACTAACAGAAGAAAAACAAAAGGGGGAAGAAGTCATCTCTATCCCCGGTTCCATTCTCTAAAATATTCCTTCACTATCCCAGGTAGAGTCAAAGTGATTCCTGCCAGAAGAAAATACTGGGAGAACATGCATAGTGTAGGCACTGTCAGTTCCAGTTAGGACTGATGGAAAAATGCCAAGGGAGACCTTCTTCCTTATAACACAGAGTTTTCTGTTCAAAATACTGCAGTCTCCTAACTGCCCCCAGGTTCACTCATTCACTGTTTTTTTTTTTTAATGATTTAGAATAAAATAAAGATACTTACCAAAAGAAGTAACATTTCCCTCTTGGTCAAATTTTGTCTGAAGATAGATCATAAAAACAACATATTAGTTTCTCTCAACTAGTATACTATTTAAGGCATGACGTAAAATCTTCAAAATATTGAAATGCAGACCATAACTGACTGGTAGGTTAATTAGGTGTAAATGTTAAGAGAAAAATTACCCTTTCCTTTGCTAGGATAAGCCTGATGTGGGTCTAACTTTCTATCTGGCACCTATAAACCTGTGACAAACGAGCATCAGCCAGGTTCTTGGTGACACTGTTTATGGTGACAGTGATGCTGACTAGTAGACTCCACTGGACACGGAAGTCTATGAAGGAATTAGTCACCAAAAAGGATGCCATAGCTCTGCCCTCCCTTGAGTGGTGGCACCAAGCCTGTTCGCTGTGGGGCCTGGAAGCTGTGCTTCTGAGCTGGTGATAAGACGCGCTAGTACTGAGGGGCAGCAGGCTACTGAGCCAAGGTGGATCTCACATTCTCCTCCGATAAATGCAACTCCTTGCACCAGAGCTGTCACTGAGCAGGCCAGAGACACCCCAGTGGCTGCAAGGTCTTGTTATGAAGAAGAGACACTGACTGGCAGACTGTACTGTTTCCTGTCCTTGTCAGCGGAATGGACCATGTGTGGCCTGTCTTGTGAATCTACATGTCTAAATGACTAAGAAGTCTCTCTGGCACTGCAGAGTCAATAAAGATTTACAGAAGAGTCCTCTTCTGACAGTTTGAAAGAAGCCATGTTCTAAAAACTGCACTTATTTCCTTAACATAGAGAAATATTTTTCTATATGCTTATGTATTGTGAATCTGAAGTTATCCAACAATATTTAATAAATCTGTGTGCTGGGGTGTCCTATTTGCTATGAAATACACATTTTCAGAAAGACCACTGTAAGGTACAGTTGCAGGTACAATACAGGTCTTAGGCTATTACTTTGGGAGTATGCATGGTGTGTTAGAACATAACCCACAGAACATATATTAGCTTCCTTCTCATGAGCAAAGATAAGATCATTATGAATATGTAAGTAGCATAAAATATCAATATTAAAGGAAAATTTATAAAGAAGCTCTATATTTGTTTAAAACAGACTAGCTTTCTACCTTAAATTTATTTCATAAACATATATCCCATGCAGAAAATGAGAAGCAACATGTCAAGCAAAACTAAGTTGTGCCATGACAAATTCTACAGAAAACCATGCTAATATTTTACTGATTATTCCAGTCTTTTTCCATAACATGTATTCATGTTACACATACATCTTTGCACTGTCCTCCACTCCAACTTAATAACATGTACTAAATATTTCTGCATTTCAGTATGTATCATCTTTTTTTAAAATATGGCTTTTATTTTCTTAAAATCATACCACGCCTGCCTGGCAAGCGCAAGGTCCTGAGTTCGATTCCCAGTACCAGAAAAAAACCAAAACATACAGTATCTCATACAAATATGATTTTAAAAATGTTTGCTTAGGGCCGGGGATGTTGCCTGTTTGGCAAGCACAAGGTCCTGAGTTTGGTTCCTGGGATAAGGTGTGTGTGTGGGGGTTGCTTTGTAATCTGCTCATTTCCTAAACTCATTATTTCAAATAGCATCAATTGATTTCTTGTGTTCTTGGTAGACAATTATTTACCTGCAAAGAATTTTCTTTCAATATTTAACATCTGATTTTGTGTTCCAGTTTAATTAAAGTGGTCGTTTTCCAGAACAACAAACATAATAACTTCCACATGTAATTTTAGGAGTTATCTTGTTCTATATAGCTTATAAAGAAAAGTCCTTATGTTAATAAGCCTAAATAATCTTCACAGCTAACATATACTGGATTTTTACTGTATGTAAGGGTCTACTTTAAGTAGGCTTTCCATTTGCATTACTTTAATCCTCACAACAATTATTTAAGATATATTAATCCTCAAAACAGTTCTATATGGTAGATTTAATCCTTGCAAGATTTTTATAAAGCAGTTTACAGATGAGAAAACTAAGGCACAAAGATATTACCATAATTTGTCCAAATCTACCTAGTTAACAGGAAGAGGCAGAGCTGAGATTTGAATTTAGAAAGTCTGGCTCAGAACAAGCACTTTAAGATGCTTCTGCATAGAATTTAGTACAGCCCAGGTTCAAGGCCCACTGTGGGCCTTCAAAGGCTTCTAAATAGGAAATCTTAGTGTTTAAGTAGGAAGCTATGAACCAGGATTTAAACAAGCTATTCTAATATTCAAAGAGCTACACAGTCTTTGGCAAAGTTTCAAGACCACTGTAAGCCACAAGTCACTGGCTAAGCACAACCCACAAACAACATGACAAAATAATTCATTATAAAACAAAAGTAATTAATAGCTCAGCCAACAGTGCAGCTGTTAGAGTGGGAAGTACTTTCTGTAAGTTATCAGATGTACAATATACTCACCACAGTAAACACCGGGGCTACACTGGCTAGAGTGGCTTGAGAAATGTCAAACGTTCTAAACCGGTGCACTTCACCTGAAGAAAAAATTAGAGAATTCCTTGTGATCACACAATTGGTTTTCACATGGAGCACTTTATTATTTTTTGACCTTTCTTCCTATGGGAAAAAGAAGAAACACTTACTTGCTAATTTAAATATCTGCAGCTAATTATGTTACATTTGACAGGGAATGATTTTCTTAAGTAATGGCTTTGGGTAGACCATTTGAACTCCGTATTCCAATCAACTGTTTCCCCTTTCTAATTCTAATTTATACTCCAGAGTTGAATGAACAAATGTACAATCTGTCTCTTGAGATTTAATCAAATTGGTCTTTTTTTGAATAATTTAAAAAGGCTCCATGAAAATTATATCTATAGATATCCACCTGAGTTTTCACCACTTCAACATCAAGATTATCTGATTGATTTATAAATTATGAAACCTATGGATTTTATTTTCTACCTATATTATTTCTGATACTCTATTCAATTGGAATGAAGACAAGTCTTTAGTTGAAAATAAGACTATCTTAAACACATGATTGGACTGAAGTGAAGTTGGCTGTGATGTACAATGGCTGACAAAGGTCATTTCAAATTATTAAACATTAGAGGAATGATAAAAGATGGTAACAATTATAAATTATTTTATGTTACCAAAGTAATCACCGTAGCTCTTGTTTGAGATTTAGGATCATTTTTATTCTTATGCCTTCCCACTATTTACATATAATAACTGAAGGTTTTTTTTTTTTTTTTTTTGAAATAGGGTCTCACTAAATAGTTCAGGCTGGCCTCGAACTCATGACGATCCTCCTGACAGCCTTCTGAGTGCTAGCATGACAAGGGTGAACCACCGCGCCCAGCATAACTCAGGTTATTTGATAATATCTGAGGTCCTTTGTTTTCCTTTTACATGATAGTATGTTTTAAGGGTTAGTTGAACAAAACTAAAAGGCAGAGCTATACATGGAGATTCGACAATTAGTTACAAAGCAGATAAAGGGTAACCGGGATTACTATTCTGAAACTCAATGCTTATCCCAAAAGGTTCCCCTAGCTTGTACAAACTGCACTCTCACGCATTACCAAAGGAAGAGCAACTCACTTCTTAAAGACTGAGCTCGGTGGAAGGAGTGCTAATTGATGGTAAGTTACTTTGGGTGGCTTTTAAGTACAATTGTAAAAAGGACTTGACAACATTGCTATATTCTTGAGATACACGATTACACATTTCAATATCTTGTTTCGGAGAAATATTTGCACTGACATCAGTGAAAATTTTTATCACCACGTTGCTTTACCGTTTGGTAAAAAAACAGCAATTTAAAGCCCCCTCCCCCCGCAGCCCTCCGGCTGTTTGCTCACATTAGTTGAAAATAAAGTCAAATCTTTTTTAAGGGCGGCTCTCACCATGTGGCCTCAAACTTTTCAGCCTCATTTGCATGTATGTCCTCACCTTGTATCTGTGCAACTGTATAAATTGTATAAATGTGTTCATATGAGAAACAGAAGATTTTGAAATGAGTAGAGTTCAAAAAGTCAATAAAAACATTCCAATCTTGACTTCAGAACGATTACGATGACTAAGGACGGGCCCAGATTTAAAAAGCCTCCCACAAGGCAGCTTAAGGACCGGCGCGCACACAGTAAACAGTTCCATGCCTCTCAAGCCTTGCACCAAGCTCAGTGCAGGGGCAGCCTGGGCTGTCCGGGCGGACGCGGCAGGGTGCAGGCACGGTCGCGCTCGGGACCGGGGCGCGCAGTCAGGAGACCAGGCGCCCAAGGACAAGGACAGGTTGGTCGCAGGAGCGGGGCGAGCCGTACCTGCCACGCGGGTCGGGCGGGGCCAGCACAGTGGTGCGGCCCAGATTCTTCCCAGCAAGCGGGTCGAGCGGCCGCAGGAGGCGACAGGGCGAGCCACGGGGCAGAGGCCCAAGGCCAGGGCGCACAGGGTCCGCCGGGGCAGCCCCGCCGAGCGGGGCAGGAGCCCGGTCAGGATCCGGAGGCATTCCATGACGCTGGAGCGAGGGGAAGGCAGCAGCCAGATTACAGCTCCTCATGCCTTAAGGAGGCTGTTCAGCCGGCGCCGCGCATGCCTTAAGGAGGCTGTTCAGCCGGCGCCGCGCGACCCAGCGCAGTCCCCAAACTGTCGCAGCATACTGGGCACGCGCGGGACGCGCCAAGTCCCCCGTGCTGTTCTCTGCGCCTGCGTACTGCTCCACGCGTCTGCGTGCTGTTCTCCGCGCGGCGGGGGGTGGGGGGGGGTTGGTGCCGTTCCCTGTGCACGTTTGGGAGGTGCTTCTGGGAGTGAGTCCTGCGTCCCTCGGAGGCTGCTGGGAGTTAGCCCTTGAAGTTTGTTTCTATACCTGTCCAGTGTTGAGGGCCGGGCTGGGGGTTGGGTGGGCCAGGTGAAAAGCTTTCTTCACTTAACTTCTAGTTAAAATGTGCGACCCAGGTCTTTTAGACCTTCAGTGACGGCAAACCTTGGCACGCGTGCCGCAGCGGGCGGTTTGTACAATTGAAAGCTCTAAAAGGTTTGGGATCGCTACGGGATCACACCAGCTTGAAAAATGTCGATTTTTATTAAGTAGTAATTATTTAGTGTGAAAAAATAACATGTGGATCATGCTTTGCAGTTTCTAGAGTATTTCATAAATACAATGAAATCTGCAGTTTGGAAATGTGAAAGTTTTGACTCAAATCACTTTGGTTATATTTAATGTGACCAGAAAGTAATTAACTGTCGTGAGAAATGATGTAATAAGCTTTTGGTAGCAAAGAGTGAGAAACAGACACGTGATTTTTAGTCAATATTTAATAAGTTTTAAGTATCAATTTCAAGTTAACATTTTATGTGCCGTTGAGGTGAAAAAGGCTGATATGCTGTACTTCTAAATATAGTTGTTGATGAAGGGAAAGTAGACTGGTGTAGTATATTGAAGATCGAATTGAGAAGATTTGTAGGTGGGATGTGACAGAGGCATAGATGTTGACTCCAAAAAAGCCTGAACACCTCGACAGTGGTGGTGCTGTTTACTGAGATAGGGAATTTTGGAGAGGTGCAATTTTGGATTGAAAACAGGTTAAGGAATGGTATTTGGTTGTAGGCATTTTAAGTTTGAAAGAGCTACTAAACAGACATCTAAATATAGATATCAAATAAGTAGAGTAGATTTTAGGAGTGATTTTGGAGCTATTTACACTTGAGCCTGTATAGAATTATTATTTTAGTTTTTAAAAATTTATATATTAA